CGCCTCGACTACGTCTTTGTTCAAGTTGACCTTGTCTCAAGGTCACCCACCTTGCCCTCGACAGTTCTCGGCCCAGCTGGACCCATTGTCTGACGGACTGGTGCACGGACATGCAGTACAGCCTCACTGTTTAACTCGCCACACACACACACACTCGCGAGCTCTACGCCCAGACATTCCATGGCGCTGTTAGCGCACAAGCGCTGGCCGGGCCAGTGTGCATTGCCTGCGATGACATCACCTCCGCCATTCTGTACAGACTAAACTCTCTACTTCTTGGACCGTTCTTTTCTACTGTAAAAGCGGACCTATCTACGTTTACGACTGTTGAGGTACATCCTTTACCTTGGCAGAAGGAAACTGGTGACCCTGAGATGCTTGCGAACAGGATCGGATCAAATCATCATGAACTCCACCGGCTCCAGTTCTGCTATCTCACCGAAACTGGCCACGATGACGAAACCACATTTAACGCCGCCTTGCAGTGAACAGAAGTTAAATGTGATCATCCATCCTTCTAGCCGAGTGTTAGATTGAAAAGGAAGGTTGGGGAGGGGGGCAGGGGATCTACATATGTGGCCTCATTCGTAAACAGCAGTGTAATTATGTTTGTTGTTTGGCTGGGAATTTATTCGCTCGATGCAATCGGCCTTAGGCAGGTTCAGACAGAATGCACAAACATAGTTCCATAGTCGTCCAAAAATCGAGTAAACAGTGGCTCACCGAACAACGATTACGTAGGATGACTTGCAGTCTGAATGCTTCCCTGCAGGGCGTAAATTTTGAGGGGGGAAGTTTCCATCCCCTTCCATCTCAGAGCAGACCAGTTTATGGTTACCTGATCGTACCGGATGAAAATGAATGAAGCTTTATTGAATCTCAATTCTAAGGATTGTGTACGTATGCTGTGCTACGCTTTAGCAAACTACGGCCTTCGCAGCCTGATGTGCGCCGGCAATTCTCTGGCACCTGATTCCCTGTCGGTGGATACGTCTGCGCTCCCACTTGGCATAGAGGCCGTGTGCATGGTTGTCCAGTGGCCTGTGTAATACTTTTCTTTAAGACCTGGCTTGGAAGGCTGACAACTGATAGATGACTTGGACCTCTCAGTCGGCCCAGTACATATGTGTTTATGTGGAGTGGCGGGCTGGTGGTCTGAGAGTCGGACTGCGATAGCTCCTTTACAATGTGGCCTCTGTGGCACTCCCAGTCCTGTTTTTTTTGCTGGAGTCTAAATCCTGGTATGTGTGCATTATGGACCGGGGTTGCTGCTGCAGGGCTCTCGTCGCGCCAGTTTGAGTTCCGGGCATTAATTCCTCTACCCATTTAGTTCTCTGGGTGCATGACATTCTGGTCAGTGTGTGTGTTGTGGAACAGCGGCGTGGCGGTACAGTAGGTGAGCTAACTCATGAAATGTCAACCGAAATTCACTTTCGTTTCGAAAAGATTAATTAAATAGGGTTGTAAAACTAGTCAGCCTGCAGCATAATTCTATAATATTCCAATTACCTCAGGATGCCGGCTTTCGAATGAACTTCCTTCCGGCTGCATACAAAAACTATGCTCCGTAAACAATTACCGCTTAAGTAGCATGCATTTTCTCATTGGTTTTCGATGCCCCTAAAAGTGCAAGTATATTTCATGGAAAACATGCATAAACATATTCATCCTTTTGCTCATTCAGTAGACAATTACCTCTTCGTCTAATTTTATACTCGAAGAAGGGACGTAGATCGGTTTTAAAAAAGTTTCTGATTGTGGGACTCTTAAATACCGTGAAATGGCCGTTCATAAATCGTCATGTCTCTGCATTTCCCAATGTGGCTTGTAAAGTCAACAATGTGGATCAAATCCACTGCTACATTTTATGAAGCCTATATGGTCCCGCCTTATTACCGTAGAGAAATGAGTGGTTTTCCATACACGGAAAATATACGGCTTGTAGAGTGGAAACCCTGAATCCAAGTGTAACGGAAGAGCGGGCTGAAAATTATTCGGAAATTGGAAAAGTCTTTGAAAACCGAATAAAACCCTTTTGTTGAGTATAATATTGGAAGAAGACGTAGTTTTCTACCGAATGAGCAAAATAATGAATATGTTTATGCATGTTTTCCATGAAATATAATTGGACGTTTAGGGGCATAGAAAACCAATGAGAAAAATGCATGCTACTCAAGTGGTAATTGTTTACGCAGCATAGTTTTTGCATGCAACCGGAAGGAAGCTCATTCGGAAGCCGGCATCCTGGGGTAACTGAAATATTATAGAATTATGTTGCAGGCTGACAACTTCTACAACCCTACTCAATTAATCTTTTCGAAACGAAAACGCATTTCGGAATTTCGGTTGACGTTTCATGAGTTAGCCCACCTACTGTACGTCTAGGTGCGGTTTCATTCACCGTGTCATCCACCTGTGCTCGCTCTCACCTTGACACGGGGCCCAGGCGGGGGAGGAGGA